TAATAATAATAAAGTTGGAAGGGACCTTGGAGGTCATCTAGTCCAACCCCCTGCTCAGGCAGGAAACCCTATACCATTTCGGACAAATGGCTGTCCAGTCTCTTCTTAAAAACTTCCAGTGTTGGAGCATTCACCGCTTCTGGAGGCAGGTTGTTCCACTGGTTAATTGTTCTCACTGTCAGGAAGTTTCTCCTTAGTTGTAGGTTGCTTCTCTCCTTGATTAGTTTCCATCCGTTGCTTCTTGTCCTGCCTTCAGGCGCTTTGGAGAATAGCTTGACTCCCTCTTCTTTGTGGCAACCCCTGAGATATTGGAACACTGTTATCATGTCCCCTCTCGTCCTTTTCTTCATTAAATTAGACATACCCAATTCCAGCAACCGTTCCTTATATGCTCTAGCCTCCAGTCCCCTGATCATCTTTGTTCTCTGCACTCTTTCTAGAGTCTCAACATCTTTTTTTACATCGTGGTGACCAAAACTGGATGCAGTATTCCAAGTGTGGCCTTACCAAGGCATTGTAAAGTGGTATTAACACTTCACGTGATCTTGATTCTATCCCTCTGTTAATGCAGCCTAGCACTGTGTTGGCCTTTTTGGCAGCTGTGGCTTGTTCTAGATTGGTTGACACCTGTTGCCTGGGTGGTTTACTTACCTTGCAGTGATTGAAAATGTCATGACTTTGACTCCTTCCTTCCAATTCATATTGTTCCTATTATTTGCTTTGTCCATCAAGGGTGGATTTCCCCAGGGACTATGCAGCTCCCTACAACCTAACATTCCGGAGTGGCTGGGAGCCTCCTGTCCAGGATGCTTTTGGGAAACCTTGGGAAGACCCAGTAGAGATGCAACACCGTCATGAAGAACGACGCACCCAGGTCAGTGTTGTGATGAGAAGCAGGTAGGAGAGCATAAGCTTGAATTCTGAGCAAGAGAACAACTATAAAAGGTCCATCGTAGAGCTGAGGCCACAGCCTCTGCTTGTAACAGTTGAAGAAGTAAATTATCTTTGCCTACATATATGCTGCAGGTTTGGATTGATTTTGTGCCAACAAGATGTATCTTCTCCAGGAGGATCAATCTCCAACTTGGTCCTTCAAGTCTTCTAATAGCACACCCATTGCCACTGTAACTGAGCCCATCCACGTTGGTGCTGGTCATCCTCTCCTTGTCTTTCCCTTTCCCAACTTTATAGACTTTGGTGTATCCATTTTGCTGAATTTCAAACAAAAGGTCATTGTTGTGCATTTTGATCTTTTCAAGCAGCTCATTTCTTTAGTAGCAAATGCCTGAAGTAATGCTGCAGTGGATCTGTTGCTTTTGCTTGTGGAATCTTTTTTTTCAGACAAGCGACTTCCATTTGATTTGCACCATTGAATGACTTTGGAGGTTAAACTGGCCCAAGGACTTCCACAGATTGTAGCATATTTACAGTATTGCATTTGTGGTTGTCCAAGTGGCCTCTTTGCCTCAGCTCTGCTGCTTACTATTGGAGGACATATTCACACAATAAAGTGTCCATCTTAGGATCAGAAGAACAAAGAGATCCAGCAGGAAAGTAGTGTTTTCCAGGATGAAACGGAACTAAAACTTCTATGTTGCAAGGAGGAAAACTCCAAAGGAAGCCGGCCAATTGCAGGGCTCCAGTTTGGAGGACTATCCCACCCCTTCTAGCATATTATGTTTTGGCTGCTGGAGAAAACTAAGCCTAAGCAGCCTCCATAAGCCCTTCCTGGTCCATAGTCTAACGTGTTTATTATTTCTCTATTTAAATTTATAAGTTTGCCCAACTCCATGATGACTCTTGGCTTATAACAATAAAAACAGTACAAACACTATATAACAAAGAGCACCTCCGTCCTGCATATCCCCCTACATTAAAAATCCAGCCCAACAGACATTATCCTTTAAAAAAATTGTCACCCACTCTAAGACTTGGGGGAAAAGCTATGATTTCATGATCTTTCAAATGAGGGCAGAGTTGGATGTCCAGAGGGAAGCTATTCCAGAGGCAAGTGGTGTGACAGAGGAGGCCCACTTCCTGAGTCCCATCACATAATATTGTTTAATTGGGAGGTCTCGGAACATCCCAAATTAACTTTCCCTGCTTATTATATGTTTAATTGTAGACCCATCCAACTGGATGAGGCCAAAGGTTCACGTAGCCAGCCTGTGTTTTCTCTGTGGCCAATCATATGCTTCTAGGAAGCATGTGTATTTACTAGATTGCTCATTTTTCCAGAATAGGGATAGGCTATAGAAAAATATCAATAGCACTTAGACTAATATATCGCTTCATAATGCTTTACAGTCCTCTCTAGGCAGTTTCAGCATATTGCCCCCAAGAATCTGGGTCCTCATTTTACCAACTTCGGAAGGATGGAAGGTTGAGTCAACCTTGAGCCAGTCAGGATTGAACTCCTGGCTGTGGGCAGAATTAGCCTGTAATACTGCATTCTAACCACTGTGCCACCATGGCTTCATGCATTCCTGAATGTTTCAGGAACAAGCATGATGGTATGGGGGAAAGTCCTTGGGAGACAAGAGAAAGATTTGCAACCTAGGCAATGGATCTTCCTCCTGTTTTCCAAGGTCATTCAAAACTGAGACTCTGGAAAGAGTGCAGAAAAGAGCAACAAAGATGATTAGGGGCTGCAGGTTAAACCATATGAAAAACGGTTGAGGGAATTGGGTATGTCTGGTCTAATGGAAAGGAGAACTAGGGGTGACATGATAGCAATATTCCAATATTTGAGGGGGTCAATCTATTTTCCAAAGCACCAGAAGGGAAGACGATAAGCAAAGGATGGAAACTAATGAAGGAGAGAAGCAACCTAGAACTAAAGAGAAATTTCCTGATAGTTAGAACAATTAATCAGTGGAACAACTTGCCTTCAGAAGTTGCGAGTGCTCCATCACTGGAGGCTTTTAAGAAGAGACGGGATAGGCATTTGTCTGAGGTATAGGGTCTCCTGCTTGAGCAGAGGGTTGGACTAGAAGACCTCCAAGGTCCCTTCCAACTCTGTTATTCTGTTCTTTTCATTCCCACATAAAACCACAGAGTGCTTGAGGAAGTAGCTTTGTAATTAGTTATGTCCCTCATGCTAACAATTTGTCCCTCACCCTAACAATTTTATGAACAGAAAAGTCCTCCAATTTTGAAAGAGTAACCACAGAACATTCTTAAAAATTAGCTGTTTTTCTAGCCCAAACAAGTGGAGTTTCTAGTTCACTTAAAAACTAGTTCCAATTACATTCAGTATTATTCCTGTCCATGAACTGGAGGGAGAATTTGAGAAAGAGTCACTTGAGATGGACCTAAACTAACTTTACTGTTTCTCTATCCCTCCTTCTTTCTCTGTGTTGCAGCAATCGGCACCCACAATTGCAGCCAATGGGTAAGATATTGTTGAACATTTTTGAGAATGGATTGATTATTTGAGGAAAATAAACAGGGAGTTTGGAAGAGAGGATTAGCATTTAGAATGTAAAAAAAAGTTAAAAAGGAAGGTTGGGAAAGACAAGGATTTTAATGATTAGGGTGGAAAGGGCCATTTCTAATTCCTGGTGCATGAAATCTTTTAAGAGGAAGTAAAGAAACTGAATATTTGGAACATGCAGAATGCATGCAGTGTTGGAGAGCATAGACCTTTCCACTTTATTGGATGAAGAAGTCCCCAGTTCTGGCTTCCTCAGTCATGGTCATCACCCCCAGTATAATCACCATTGTAGCATTAACAAAACTCAATGTGAATAGAGGAGACTATCTTGCTGGGGACATGATTCCAGTCCCTCCCCTGATCCTACTGGGAAGAGAAACTTCAAAGAGAAATGAAGGGTTGGTGCTGTGGTGGTGATGGAGAGATTAACATCTTAGGAGAGTTAGATGTGCAAGGATTTGTCATGGGCCCTTTAAAGCAGGGATCTCCAACCTTGGCAATTTTAAGACTGGTGGACTTCAATTCCCAGAATTCCTCAGCCAGCTTAGCTTAGCTGGCTGAGGAATTCTGGGAGTTGAAGTTCACCAGTCTTAAAGTTGCCACGGTTGAGGGCCCCTGCTTTAGAGGATGGTGATCAGATTGGATAAATTTAGGAGGTTTTCTGAGATTGAAAATTGTGAGTCGTTTATGAAATGCTTAGGTCAATTCTACATTGCTTTTTTTCCCCTCTTCTCTTTCTTCTTTTTCTAAAAATCTATTTTTTCTATTTTTCTCTATCTATCTGTCTATCTTTGCTCTGGGAATAGCTGGGTCCGGTGGTGAAACCAAGGATAGGAGCTAGCTAGGGAGGTGGTGGTCATAGGGCACTAGGAAGCTTAGCTTAGGGCAGGTGATGGTGTGTTGCAATTAATAATTGCAGGTTCTTACCAGGGTGAGGGGTACTTTTGGTGATCAGCAACCATTGGATGTTGAGCAAGGACTTCAAATTGTTGTCCTTAATCTGAACTTACAAGTACTGATGGCCAGGAATCCAATTGGCTCACCATGCCTTAAAAGAATGAGGGCCTCTGAACACAGAATTTGACAAGTGACAAAAAATTCCCCATCGTGTCTTTTGTATTTCAGTCCTATTTAAATTCTCTGTCCTCTTTTTAAGAAATACTTTAATTATCTATTTATTATTGGATAGTAAGAAATAACTGAGAAGTAATCAGAATGGAGATTTCTGGTATAACTTCCAGAACTTGTAAGTTTTTTCTCTCGTGGTTCTCTAAATTCATTTATCCCAAAATCTCCGGAGTCTTGATTCTTGCCCAGATCAAAAAGAACCAAAATATTGGCATGTCAATCTTCACTCAACTTACTGACATTTAATCTGTTCTGTAGTGCTTTGAATTGGGCAATGCTGACAAAAAAAATAATTTGTATTCCAACTGCTATTTTAACTATCTTTCAAACAATCCTAAGAATTACATCATGATTAGGTTACCAAGGATTAGTTGTCTAGGGAAACAGGATTAACTGTTAAAATTAATTTTTAAAGTTTGTAGCATAGATAAGCACATAATGAGCTAAGAATAAATAAACTAACAAAAGATGCACCAACTATAGAGGCCTTGAATTAAACTAGATAAGCATCCAATGGAATTTCCTTCCTACTCTTTACATGCACATATTCATATATTCTGATTAATTTATTCATACACGTATATATGCAGATATGAGGAAGCACCTAATAATCAGTTCATAATGTAGCAGGGAGGAAGAGGAATCTCTCATAGTTCTCAAAATAAATTAAAATCAAATGACTGTTTTGTAGTGGTACTAGAAATTCTGGATTTGACCAGCACTGCCTAAATGCAAAGATAAAACTAGACTTAAAGTCTCAATGTATCACTGAAATAATCCTTGTAGGTAACTTCTCCCGCTTTTTTTTTTTTTTTGCTTAGAATGGAGAGGACTATGGTTTTTTAAAACCTGAGAAATGAGCTAAAACACATCCATGCTAAATATAAACAACTTTAAGGCCAATGTCATGGGTTTCCCAAAAGATAACTGGGAAACATAACAGCACAGATTTGGAGAAAATGTTTAGGTAAATTCTGGGCCACATAATATGTTTGCCATGTGGGAGAACTTTGGGATTATGCCATGGAGTAAAGGAGGAGGAAGCAGCTAGTAAAAATGAACTGCTATAAGAAGGCAGAAGGCTTGCTTCTCCTTATAACAGTTCCTTTTTATTGCCGTGCTCAACTGCCAGAGGAAATGAACAGCTTAAAAGGAGAGAAGAACCATAGAAGAATGGAAAGACAATTAACAGTTTCTCCTCTGTTAGAAGTGTGTGCATGTATGTGTGTGCATGCACACATACACAAGCATGAGTATTTCCCCGTCCTCTTCTCTGCATCATAGTAGAGAAAGCATCATTCTCAATAACCAATGTTGTTATATGTTGGGAATAGACCCCTCTCAGAAACTAAGTAACAGATACTTGATATCTTCAAATATGATATAAAAGGATCACGTAGGGTTCATACCAGTGCCCAACTACCCGTATATTTACAGTGTAATTTGTCCACTCTTTTTCAAATCATGAAAGTGGATCGTGAAGACAAAGCCAGTTTGGTCTAATGGTGAAGGCACCAGGCTAAAAACCAGGAGACTGTGAGTTCTAGTCCTGCCTTAGGGATGAAAGCTGGCTGGGTGCCTAAGGCCAGTTACTCTCTCTCTCAACTCAACTTACCTCACAGGTTTTTGTGAACAGAATAGGAGGGGGAAGCAGTATTAGGTATGTTCACAACCTTTAGTTATAAAAATAATAAAGGCAGAGTATAATAAAACTTCTTGCAAAGCTTTTCATGATATTTCTGCACTAGGTTTCATACTGCAAAACCTAATCGAATTCAGTTTCTAGAATGTTCCCAGCATGTGCTTTACAGTCTAAAAATAACAAAAAACAAAGAGGAGTGCCTATGTGGAGATTAGAAAGGGTGAGCCCAGTTATGCAACTGTAGACTATAAGTTTCACCTAGTAAACATTGCAGGATTTCCAGTTCTTTTGCAAAGAACATAAAATGAGATAAGGATAAAGAGTTCTTTTAAGCCAATACCCTAATTATGTAATATTGTTTGGTTTAACTCTTATGGAAGTGAGGCCCACTTGCCTCCCTCACCGTTGGTGAGGATCACTTTACAACTGTCACGTCTTAGACTCCATTATGAAGGCTACCTGTACCTAGGGGTTTCCCCTCCATTTTCTCCCACAACAGCAATCCTAGGAAGAAAGTTTGGCTGAGGGAGAATTATTGGCAGAAAAGTAAGGTAGAACCTGGGTCTTCTCACGCCAAGTCCTACTACTTTACTTTGCCCTCATGCTGTCTGTGATGATGCACATCGCCTTCCCAATAATTCTCCTGAAAACATCTCCTTTCTCCCTTGTGTTAATACGAACATGGCTGTGGTTAAAAGCAGACTGATATTGGGCAAGCTACAACCTAATTCTTTTGCAGTCAGAGTAAGTTCGTAAGGTACAGGAGCAGAGAACAAAAGAACAAAGCAACAGCACAAGGAGCAGCTCAAAAGAACTTAGGGAACCCTTCATGCCTTGGGGACTTGGCAGGAACAAAAGACCAAGGGGACATGGCAAGGAACAAAAGACCAAGCCCAGCCCTTCCCCTGGATAGAAAAAGAAAGGAAGGAGACTTGGGTCTCCCAAGAAGTCCAGGAGAATAAAGTAGAGCCCAGATTATCTTAAAAGAAAACAGAGTCAGTTCAAGCAGAACAAGAAAGGAAGTGAGCAAGAGTTCAGTTCTTTTCTTCTCTGCTGACCTCTGATTTGGATGAGACTCTGATGCACGGTGGTAAAGCAATTAGCTCTGAAAGCAGGAAGAAGATTGGAGGAGAGACAGAGAGAGATGAAACTCTTCCAGAAGGCAAGAAGCCAGAGTCAGGGGCCAGGTGTTTTGGGCACGGAAGGGAAACGTAACAGGATGAAAACAAGAGGACAGCGGTTTAAAGAAAGATGGCGCCCAGAAGAGAACCAAGAGGGGGACACTGGGCAGCCAGTGAAGGTAGGACTGGAGCACGGTGGGAATTGGGGTGTCTCCTTTTCTTTTTCTTCTTGAATTCCTATCCTTCTCAGAACCAGTTTGCAAGATGGGTGTCCCAGCCAGTCCAGCTCTGATCCTCATAAAATCTAGCTGGAAGAAGGATTGCAGATACTGTACTGTAGATGGTTCAGGGTGTCTTTTCTGGTAGGAAATGCCACCTATTACAAAAAAAAGGGGCAACTGGTGTAAACTAATATCTCATTTTGCCCTTTCCTGGTCATTATCCATTCCTTCCTTCTATATCATGTTTTTTTGTTCTGTAATTGGGTAATCTTTGTGAATATGAGAGTGGCCAGAGTGGGTCACGTTGCTATTGTGATTAATGCTAATTAATGATAACGCCTAGCCATCTTGCAATCTTCTCTCCTACCATTTTTTATCGGCAAGATGCATGAAAATTGGGATAACAGAAATACACTTGCATTGCCCCCTAAACTCAGCGTATATTAAATAAAACCTGCATAAAACAAGAGATGTCTAGAGTTGAAATAAATGTAGTTAATCAATCTGTTTAAAATTAGCCAGATGAGTTAAGTTGAAATGCATTTGCATGGTGATGCCCAAATCCAGTATCAATTCCACTTTAAGATATTGAAGGAAGTGCTGGATATTTACATTCAGTTCAATAAACAGGACTAAACACTATTAACTCTGCATTTGGGAATTACCCTTTCATTCTCTATCATACTTACACATCTAGATTAAGATGACATGAAGTAAATAATATTTCACAATTCATTTACTAACTCTCAACTATTAACTAGATTAATCTCTACTAATTAACATTTAAAACGTTTTTGTAGCTTAATTAGTTGATGACCCAAGGGTTGTCAATCATCCCACTGACCAAACTTCTTTTGCTCACTTCTGTATCTCATCCTTGTCTTTGCTGTGAGGCAGACTAAGCTCTATTGAAATTTTCAGGACTTCTGGGACTTTAATTAGAAGTTTCCTTCTTTTGGGTTTTCTTTAATGGATCTGCTTTGTTACCTGTCAAGAGAGAAATTGCTTAACTTTTTATTACTAGTTTTCACTCTTTGTAGTTTTCTTGTTCAACAGCATGGTTTTTAAAATTTAATTTAATTATTTTTAAAAAAAGATGCACTATTTTAATTATGCTGATAGTTGTAGAAGTACAGAAAACTTAATGTGGACCCAACAATTGTTGTAGTCAATTATATGATGAAATTTGCATATATTTGCAAGTAAAAAAGATGTCAGGGGTATTCACAAGGGAAAGTGTTAAAAAATCAAGATGGTTGCTACAGGCTTCAGGTAGTCCTCAACTTACAGCAGTTCATTTAGTGACCATTCAAAGTTACAACGGCATTGAAAAAAGTGACATGACCGTTTTTCAGTTAGGACCTCTGCAGAATCCCCGTGATCACGTGGTCAAAATGCTTGGCAACTGCTTCATATATATGACTATTGCTGTGTCCCAAGGTCATGTGATCACCTTTTGTGACCTTTCGACAAGCAAGGTCAATGGGGAAGCCAGAATCACTTAACAACGGGTTACTAACTTATCAACTGCAGCGATTTGCTTACAACAGTGGCAAGAAAGGTCATAAAACGGGGCAAAAATCACTTAACAAATGTCTCCCTTAACAACAGAAATTTTGGGCTCAATTGTGGTCATAAGTCGAGGATTACCTGTATGTGATCAAAGCCTGAACCATAATGTACATAAAAAGGAGGGGGTTTTGGTCACATAGCTGCGGCTGCCATTTTGTCTTTTCCAGACTTCCCTGGAAACAGTAGGTTCTAAAGAAGAAAGCACGTGGCTTGTTTTTATACGTTGCAAGTAATTCCCCCATCTTTTTCTGTTGAGCATTCATATTTTTATGAAGATGGGCTGTGCCACCTGCAGATTTAGACAAAAAAAATTGTGTGTTTAATTAGAGGCAGTTTTATTTTAAAAAATAAATAAATAAAAACTAAGTGAATGACTAACGTGTGGCTGTAGAGTAAACTAAATGAAAGCCCTATCTCTGTATAAAGGTCTAGAACAGAGAATGTTTCCATAAAAGTGAAAGTGAAAGGAATGGAAGATGAGAGAGATATAACCTTGGGAGTGGTCATCTCTAAAGCTTTCAATAAAACTCGATGATCCCCCAGCTGCATCTAAATCTCTGTTTTATTGGTTACTGATCAGGAACAGTGGAAAAGGGATAGCAAGTTCGCAGAAGAGCCCAAGGGTTTCTGATTCTCAGAAAATATGAAATGGAAAAAATAAAGTTTTCTGGGGTCTAAATTGGATGGCTAGCATGGAGGAAAAGCTGGAAAGACACCCTAATAGGATATGCATATACTGTGGTGCCTTGGTACTCAACTGTTTTGAAACTCAGCAAATTTAATACTCAACAAATTTGTCCCGGTACTCATTATTTGTTTGATACTCAATGCACAAGCTAGAACTTATCAATGTCGACCACCTTATGACTCACTACATTATTCCTTATGGGGAAAAAAATGTTTGGTACTCATCATGTCTCCTGAAACCAATTAATGATGAGTACCAAGGTACCATGTTAACTGAAGGATGAGCTCAACTAAAATTCTTGACTTGTAATAAGAGGCAACCTTGTTCCTTAGTCCTAAATCAACTCGCTACCTTCATTGGTCTCCAGTCAGTAGATCTTGGAGATCTGTAAAAACAAAGTGAATTCCTTAGATGTGAAGTCTGATCTACACAGATCATAGGTATTCTTGCATTAAACCCAATGTATCTTCCTTCTCACTCACAGGTGCAAACATCTAGAGAAATCAGTGATCTGCACCCACAGCTTCACAGCCAGAAACAGCAATGAACTGTCAGTGTTTCAAGGAGACATATTAGAGGTGAATTTATGACCCAGGGTATCAACCATGTCAAAAAAAAGTGCAGTGGAAACCTTAATATAAAGAAGATAATTGCATTTGGGAATCCCAAAATTTGGAAATACACCATTGTTTGCCAATTTGAAATTTTAACATGAAAACCGGCTGGATGATTTTGGGCCAGTCACTCTCAGTTCAACTCCCCCCCCATTGTTGCTGTGGTGGAGAAAATTATAAGAGGAAGAGTATTATGCATGTTCACCATCTTGAGTTACTCATGAGTTACTTATAAATATGTAAATGTGTTATGTATGTGTACACTTTTGAGAGCAAACAACAAAAATTCATTTTTAATGTATGCCACTCTGCCAACAGTAAAAAAAATGACAATAAAGGTTATCTATCTATCTATCTATCTATCTATCTATCTATCTATCTATCTATCTATCTATCTATCTATCTATCTATCTATCTGTCTGTCTGTCTGTCTGTCTGTCATCTATCTATCCATCCATCCATCCATCTATCTTTAGCATATGGCATGAAATACATGGATAGCACTAGTAAAGATATATGGAAAAAAACAAATAATATGATACATGTAAGATGAAGACGTATAGTGAATTTTGTAAGCTATAAGGAATTCAAGAAATTATATATTCAGTTACAAATATATATTTTATTTTAAGATACATTGGTTCATATAAAACACATTGGTTCATAAAGTAAAATAAGTTTCTATATATTAATACATATATATTAATACTATAATATATGTGTGTGTATGTATATGACAGGTAATCCTTGACTTATGACCACAATTGAGCCCAAAATTTGTTGCTAAGTGAGACATTTGTTAAGTGAGTTTTGCCCCATTTTATGACCTTTCTAGCCCAAGTTGTTAAGTGAATCACTGCAGTTGTTAAATTAGTGGCACAGTTGTTAAGTGAACCTGGCTTCCCCACTGACTTTGCTTGTCAGAAGGTCACAAAAGGTCACATGACTCCGGGATGCTGCAACCGTCATAACTATGAACCATTTTCCAAGTGGCTGAATTTTCATCACGTGACCATGGGGATGCCGCAACAGTCGTAAGTGTGAAAAATGGTCATAAGTCACTTTTTTTCAGTGCTGTTGTAACCTTGAACGGTCACTAAATCAACTCTTGTAAGTTGAGGACTGCTGGTATCTATGCCATTTATCCAATTAAGCACAGTGTTTGATAACTGGAGGAAGTTTACTTTTCTTCCTGTGTAAGCTCTGTTATATCACTTATAAAGTAAGAAAGGTGGGATAAAAGGCAAACAAACAAATAAATACAGAATTTCTGCAAGGTTAGCAATATTCTCTACTAAATAATTGTGAAGTGCTTTCACACCTCTTCGGCAGAGGCCATATGCCTTAAATGAAAAGCATCACTATGCATAAACAGGCTGTTTACTAAACAAGTTGTACATTGCTAGCAGGAATGGAATTATTCACGAGGCTGAAATTAGGACAGTTGTGAGTGTCACAAAAACTGGCTGGAATGTTGTCTCTGCTTATATGGAAATATTTTGTTTGTTGTTAGGTTCTCGATGATAGTAAGAAGTGGTGGAAAGTCAAGAACTGTAATGATCAAGTTGGTTACGTCCCTTATAATATTCTTGCTCCAATGCTGAGTGGAGATAATTCCAGTATCCAGAATGACAAGGAAATGCTTCTAATTCATGAAATCACCCCTGTAACAACGAAGGTGAGTTAGAATACATGAATTAGGGCTTTGTTTATTTGTTTCTGTTTTTTTTAACATTCTATATCCTATGGGATTTAAAATTAAAAACCAATATTTTAAAAACGGCAAAGAAAACAAATGTCTATGGAGATTCTCTGTCATCCAGGTCATGGTTGTCCCAAAGATGCTTTTTCAAGAGGCAACTGGACTTTCTTGTTTTTCTTTAAAGACGTTTCACTTCTCATCCAAGGAGCTTCTTCAGCTCTGACTGGATGGTGGGGCTGAATTCTTCAGTCAGAACTGAAGAAGCTTCTTGGATGAGAAGTGAAACATCTTCAAAGAAAAACTAAGAAAGTCCAGTTGCCTCGTGAAAAAGCATCTTTGAGGCAAAGAAAACCCTTGAACCAGCAAAGCAATCAATCTAAACATCGGGGGGGGGGGGAATCTAATGAAATGTATTTATTAATTTGATATATTTATATGGCCAGCCATCTCACAGATCAGGGCTCTGGACAGCATATGATACAAAAAGTGATTGGGTAGAATAGCCTTAATCTTCTCTAGGTATGTTAAGTTATAACTTGATGATCCACACCTGACACAGCTAGTCCTCAGCTTAGGACTAGAATTGCCATTTCTTTGTGAGGTGATTGTTAAGTGAATTACACCCAATTTTAAAAACTTTTTTTGGCCCCAATTAACCGAATCACTGCAGTTGTTAAGTGAACCAGTCACAGATTATTAAACAAATCAGGCTTCCCCCATTGATTTTGCTTGTCAGAAGCCAGCTGGGAAGATCACAAATGATCACAGGGTCATGGGATACTGTAATGGTCATAAATACATGCTGGTTACCAAATGCCTGAATGTTGATCACGTGCTACAAAGAACATCAGGCAGGTTTCACTAGTAAGGTGGTACCAGATGATGAATATCAGACAGGAGAAGCAGAATGGAGAATGGAGAGGAAGGTAAGGCTAGTGAAAAGGATTCCTGCATGTGGCAATGTGGTTTTGCAAGTCCCACCTGTATCCCTGAGTATGAAATGCTGAGGACATGAAATGGAATATGCTTAGGGATGTCCTGGGAGAATCTATTGGTGATTATTAGAAACCAAATACTGGACTAGATGGATCTTTGGGGTGATCCAACGTTGCAGCACAGAGGTCAGAGATACCTGATAAAGCCTGGTGAGATTTAGGGGAAGCAATCAAAGCTTTCCCTCTTTGAGCTCTAGAAAATGCTGAAATATCAAAAACGGAAGAGTATGAAATCAGAACTGCATTCCACATTCCAAGTTCTAAAATGGGAAACCAATTGTCACGGCTCCATTGGATCCTGGTTTGGAGGAGGAGGAGGAGTTGAAACCAGGACCATTTAATGGGGATGGCATGGTCCACTCAGAACGAGTGGCAAGTCCAGGGGCTGAATACGAGGCAGTCTCAGGGCCATTGGGCAGTGGAGGGAGTCAGCCAATTGGATGGAGAGCTGTTTGCAGAAGAGGATCAGCTGCAGAGGACCAGTGGAGATGACAAGCTCCAGACTACTTCTGATGAGAAACAGCTGCCTCCCCCACCCAATCCACGGGCATGGAGAGCGGAGCAGAGGGAGGCACAGAAGAGGTCAGTGAGGTTGCTCACAAGGAAGCAGCCCCACTCCTCCTCACAAGGAACTGGGGGTGATTTAACCAGACACTGGAGGAAGATGCGTTTATCAGGAACACCTGTTTGTTTTGATGCACATCTTCCTGGCTTTCATGGATTTTGGCTCATGTGTGTTGGCTCCAAACTGACTTCGGATTCTTGGACCATGCTTTGGTTCTTGGAACCCTGGACTTTTGTTGCAGACTTGGTACTTATGGGTGTTGTGACTTCCCTCTTGGCCTCATGGGTTGGCTAGGATTTAATTTGTGGAACCAGGGAATTCAGACGGAGGGAAAACTGAGGGCTGAGGTGGAGCTACACTGGCACCATTGGTGGGTCATTTTGTGCTGTGTTAAATGTGTAATAAATGGATTCTACTTAACCTCTTCCTTGCCAGCATAACTTGTCAAGTTATGCTGGCAAGGACAAAACTAGCCAAATGAATTGGGATTTTACATATTAAAACTCAGATACTTTAGAGGACTAATTACTTGTAGATAATTAATGTAGCCTTGTCACCACAATTTCTTGTAACATCTCTCCCAATCAGAAATAGACTTGTACCATTCGTTGTTCTTCCTTGCTTTCTCCACATAGATAACACCTCAGCCACCAGCAATGACCACAAGTCTACAGTCCAATGGTGTAAAATGGGCCAGCGCAGAGGAGCTTAACAAGAACCAGAATAAGAAAGGTGAGACCCCTCTTTCATTTGGAACTGAAGAGCCAGCAAACAAGCAATTCTTCTTTTTGTTTTGCCTGAGCATATGGTCCACATTATCTGTGAGAAATCTCAGGTTGACCTCTGACCCAGTAAGAGCACAGAACTGGAATTATCTTAGATGGAATTGACTTGTCTACTAAAATATCCTTTCGACAATCTGAACTCTGAGTCTAGGGTAGTGAGGGAGACCTTGTGGTCCTTCAGAAGTTGCTGAATTACATTCCAATCATCTCCCTCACCAATGTTCATGGTTGACTAGAACTATTGGACAGGCTCAGTAGCATTTAGAAACCACATGTTCCCCATCCTTGCTCTAGAACAGGGGTCCCCAACCAGGGGTGCGAGACGACATTCCAGGGAGTGCGAAAACTTGGGTTTAGAAATTTCAAAAATATAGTGTATATGCATAATTCGTTGCCGTTATTTTGAACTTTTGTAAGGGGTGAGAGAATGTATCAGAAGCGTTCTAGGGGTGCAGGGTATAGAAAAGGTTGGGAACCACTGCTCTAGAAGAAAGCAACATGATCTATATATTTTCAAACAAGTAAACTAGCTTCTTAATGGTTTCCTAAAATGGTGGATCATGTAATATTGGAAGGAAGGTATAAAAATAGTCTTTTTGCAGAGCGAACCTGCTCCTGTGACCTGCCAAAACTTGAGACTTTATCCCAAATCCTGATGACCTTTCTACAGCACTTAGTACCCAAAGAACTACTCGCTCTGAGAATAATTTCATTTTCTTTTTACCTCCTGGCTACTTGTTTCAATTAAAGAAATTATTTCAATTAAACCATTTGCTGGTTTGCTTTCCCAAATGTACTCCCTGTTAATGATACAGCAAAGAACATTACCTAAAGCTCTGGCATGCGGTCCCTGAAAACAATGGACTTGGTTTTCCAAATCCTTGGTCAAACCTGTTGTAGATAATCCAATCTTCTAGATGTCTGGGCTTCAACATTCAGAATTCTCAGAAGTTATCATGATGCTGGCTGATGATATGAAGTGTTAACCATTGGATGCCCAGATCTAGGAAGACTGCAGCTATGGTCTCATACTACTAGGAAATACAGGTAGTCCTTGACTTACGACCAGAACTGATCCCAAAAATTTATGTTGCTGAATGAGACATTTGTTAAGTGAGTTTTGCCCCATTTTCTTGCCACAGTTGTTACGTGAACCATTGCAATTGTTAAGTTAGCGACACAGTTGTTAAGGTGAATCTGGTTTCCGCATTGACTTTGCTTGTCAGAAAGTCACAAAAGCTAATCACGTGACTCTGGGACACTGCAACCATCACAGATACAAACCGGTTGCCAAGTGTTTGAATTTTGACCATGTGACTAAGGGGATGCTGCAACAGTACTAAGTGTGAAAAATGGTCATAAGTCACTTTTTTCAGTGCTGTTGTAACTGTCATAAGTCTACACCCTTGTCCACATTATTTGAAGCACTGGAGCGATCAAATCCATAATTTAATCCTGCAAAAATTCTATAGAACCTACAGCATTTTAGTTTACTGCAGGATACTGTAGATGGGATAGGACTGCCACCTGAAGTATGGGCTACAAATGGAGATGTGCAAAATTGGGCAGTCCATCCTTCCTCCCCCCCCCCACCATCCCACCAACACAGGAATGGCTCATCCATTTTCAGAAGTGAATGTTTTGGAACAGTAAGTGATATATTTTCTTCTGGATATGATCTGCCCCAAAGTACACAAACAACTCTGAACTACCTGTATTTCCACATCTGGAAAAAAACACAAAGTTCTTGGCAGAGAACACATAGTTCTTGCACTTACCTAGATATAAGGACAAATCCTTTCTTTCTCCAGTGATTCATTTCCCATGAATCCTTGAGTGACATCTCTTTCTGCTCTGGTAGAACACTTCAGCGTTGTCAATGAGGAGCTCGTCTTCAGGCTGGCCAATGGGACAAGCGGCTGTGGCAAAACTCTTCATATCCCACGTACTCTAGATACGGATGTCCCTTTAGACTACAATTCAAATTCTGATCAAGTCCGGACCTGGTTGGAGGCCAAAGGGTTCAGTCCATTGTGAGTTGGCCTCTGTTTCTCTTTGAGAAAATATGTGGGTTGATAATGAAATACAGACTTAGATTGGCTATTTCTCTCTTTAAATTGTATTAGATTCTAGATCAGAGATGCTATGCATATCAACAATCTTCCTAGCTGACAAACACCTAATAATTTAGAGCAGGGGTAGGCAACCTTGGCTCTTTTATGACTCATGGACTTCAACTCCCAGAATTCTTGAGCCAGCTGGCTCAGGAATTCTGGGAGTTGAAGTCCACGAGTCATAAAAGAGCCAAGGTTGCCTACCCCTGATTTAGGGAATGACTTCTGCAATAGCCACAATATAAAGCAGCAGCAACAGCTTTCCTGAATTAGTTGGTAGGCTTCTAAAATTTGCCGCTGAACTATGATCAATTATGGATTTTAGTTCTATACCCCTAATAGATCCTAACTAAAGTTAAGATTAAAACTGTGCTAAATAAGATTCCTGTTTGGTTGGGGTGGGTGGAAGAGTTCCCCCCCCCCCCCATCTCTTGACTCAGTTTCTGCCCACCTAGAAGTTTGAAAGCATGTTCTATGTGGGTAGATAAATAGGTACCAATTTGTGCGAAGGACGAGCCAGCACCTCATATGAATAGAATCGTTCTGGACCTTCCCAATTGCAACACACGCTTGTGAGGCAGCTTCCATGGAGGGAGAGGGCCCCAGATGCTGGTGCAGGAAACCGGTTGTCTTTCTTTCTGGTATGGAGCTAGCTCGCCCCCTGTGGCGGATCTTGGAAAACGCACGAGTGTGAATGAAACAGGGCTAGCAATCTTAGGCAGCCAAACTTATTACTCTGCATTTGAATTGTAGTTTCCTAGCTAATGTAACTTTGCCTTACACTGAATAAATAAATTAAACCCAATGGAGATTTTTTTAGACATTCTGCTATTTGGTCAAAAGAGCTGCCAGAGTTTGACCTAGTTAGAGGTCACTTTCAAATTGGTTTCATTTTTAGAGTTTAAATGGAATAGCTCCTTTTTCCTATCACGGCCTATTTATTTTACCTACCCTTTTCCTTCCTTTCTGCAGGATTGTCAATGCCTTGGGGATTCTGAATGGCGCTCAGCTGCTTTCCTTGGAAAAGGATGAGTTCAGAGCTATCAACCCAGAAGAAGGACCTCGAGTCTACAGCCAGGTTACCATCCAGAAAGCCCTCCTAAAGGTACCAAGGATTTTGAAATCTCTTCTAAGGGTTGAGAAAAGTGTGGTGAGCTGAGACCGTTCTTGACCATCCAGACCTCAAGGAACTAAGAAATCTAGCAAGATTCAGCAAAAATATAAGGATTGGAGGGGGAGGGCTGAGTGGGGTGAGACTATGCCAAAGTTTCAAAGAAGTAGATAACATAAGGAGAGTTTTTTGCTTGAAGATAAGAATCAGAATCAGAATAACAGTTGGAAGGGGCCTTGTGGGTCATCTAATCCAACCCCCCCACCCAAGCAGGAGATCCTACAGCATTTCTGACAGATGACAGTCCAGTTTCTTCTTGAAAGCTTCCAGTGATGAAATTCCCACAACATCTGAAGGCAAACTGTTCCACTGGTTGATTGTTCTCACTGTCAGAAAATTTCTCCTTATCTCTAGCTTGAATCTCTCCTTGAGCAGTTTCCATCCGTTTTTCCTTGTCTGGCATTCAGGTGCTTTGGAAAATAGGTTGAGCCCCTCCTCTCTGTGACAGCCCCTCAAATATAGGAACACTGCTATCATGTCTCCCCTGGTCCTTCTCTTCACTAGACTAGCTATGCCCAGTTCCTGTAACCGTTCTTCATATGTTTTAGTCCCCTAATCATCTTTGTTGCTCTTCTCTGTACCTTTTTTAGAGTCTCAACATCTTTTTTATAGTGTGGAGACCAAAACTGGTTGCAGTATTCCAGGTGTGATCTTACTAAGGCTTTATAGCAGGGGTGTCAAACTGCCGGCCCGCGGGCCAGATGCATCATAGCGAAATCGCCCCCCCCATTGCCGGCAATGGCAAAAAAGTCACAATACGTCACGCCATGTCACGTGATGTTGCAAGTTTGACCTCCCTGCTTTATAGAGTGGTATTAGTACCTCACGCGATCTTGATTGAATCCCTCTGTTAATGCAACTTAGGATTGCATTGGCTTTTTTGGCTGCTGCCACACAGTTGGCTCATATTTAATTGATTGTTCACTAAGACTCCAAGATCCCTCTCACAGTTGCTGCTATTAAGCCTGGTTTCACCCAATCTATATGTGTACTTTTGGTTTTTCTTGCCTAAGTGTAAGACTTTACTTTTCTCTACATTGAATTTCATTTTGTTAGATAGGGCCCAGATGAGCACTTCATCCTTAATTTTCTCCTTTTTCTTCTAGGATTCTGGGAAAATGTCAGAGCTAGAGGTCGTGATGGCAAGACAAAAGATAAAAGCAGAAGGATTGGACTAATGGAGCTCTCTTTTTGTGTGGTGGTGTGACTTTGCTAAAGAAATGTGGAAATTCAGATTCTTCTCTCTACAGGAGCAGAATCTAGCCTGTGTAGGATCAATGTGAAAGAATTGGTTGTAATTGTTACTGTGGATGTGTTTTATATTCCCAATTTGCCATCAAACAAGAGAAACTTCCTGGTATTCCCAGTTTCTCAAATCTCTCTTTTTAAAATATACGTCATGGAACAATATTCACTCTCCCACTTCTTTAATCCCCAAATTAAAAAGAAAAAAGAAATAATTATGTCCTATAAGATCTACACTTTCTCCATTTTGGAACTTAGCTCCTTGTAGAATCAGCTCTCAATCTCTCAGTAGGGAAATACTAATGTGGTATAGTATGCACTATCACATCATCTGTTTAGTTCTTTCATTAAACATCAGTCAGGATATTATTGAACAATTTTTTTTCAGATTATGGCCTCATGAACTATGCATATAAATCTACATAAAATCAATGATTTTATACACAGTTTATTTAATCCAGTTCACAGATCAGCACAGGAAATGTAATCAGAGTTCTACCTGCATGTTCAGTGAGTAACATTTTACAACTCTATGAACTTTTAAAGCAAATCATCCTGTCTAGCCACAATGACTCCACCTGCTCTTTTTTTAATAGATTAGTTCCTGTGAAATAATAGCTCAGCATTAAAAAAAATGTTAAATAATCTAAGGAAGTATGTGTCATGAAAACTGATGAATTACTGTTACAAGAGTTAATTGCTTTAAATTCAGAGGCCTTTGTCACAGAACAATACAATATGTGGTCACTAGATGGCAGTCGGCAGCCTCTATGGGCAAACCAAGCTGTTTAGCTACAGATAATTTCTCTGTAAATCAAAAAGATTTAGCCAGATTTTTAACAGCTTGTTCCTATTGTCCTGAAAGCATTTTTTATGGGGAAAATGAACTGAATCAGCTGCTTTGAAGGAATCTTATGCAAGAAAATGTGATGTTTCCACTTAAAAAAAAGCCTTTATGATAAAATGGGGCCATTTGCTGTGCTTCGGTTTCATTATGGTGTGTGTTTGTTTATGTGTGTGTTAGATAGTTATTTAATTAGTTCTTTTTTTCCAATAGCTTTCTCACAATTTGATGAACATATGTTGAACACTGCACCATAATTTTGATTGCTGCTAAAACAGTTTTCATTATAAGTTTCTTGAGTTCAGTTTTACCCCTAAATCTACTAGCAGTTCTCCAGATTGTTTACTCACAAGCTGCTGTAAATTTTTGTGGAAGCGAAAGGTGTGGAGGGTAAAAATCACTATAAGCTGCTTTCCCATAATTAATGCAGGAAATATTTATTTTAAGCCTATTTATATGAAATTATTGTTGTTAATATTTGTTTTTAAAAGGTTGATTTTTAAAACTTCTTTTAAAAAAAAAATGAAATTAATTTTGAAAATTCTCTAGAACAGGGTCCCTAGATAAGTTGCCCATTAAGCAAAATGGGTTTCTGAGCAGCATGTAAAATCTCCCAGGAAATAAGATTTCAAATAACACTTTTAAGGCCAGAAATTCTGTTCTGTGACTGTTTTGCAAGGGAGCATTGTTGCAGAAGGACTAAGAATCAATTCCAAGATCATCTATTCCTTATGGTGGCATTGGTGAATCCAAAATACAGGTAGTCCTTGACTTACAACAGTTCATTTAGTGATCATTTGAAGATAAAACTGCACTGGAAAAAAGTGACCTATGATTGTTTTTCACACTTAAAACCATTGCAGTATCTTCATGGTCATATGATCAAAATTCAAACGCTTGGCAACTGATTCATACTTATGACGGTATCCCTTTTGCAACCCTCTGACAAGCAAAGCCAATGGGGAAGCCAGATTCACTTTACAACCGTGTTTCTAATTTAATATGTGTAGTGATTCAATGAACAAATGTGGCAAGAAAGGTCATAAAATGGGGCAAAGCTCAACAAATGTCTCGCTTAGCAACAGAACTTTTGGGCTCAGTGGTGGTCGTAAAGCGAGGACTACCTGTAAGGGATTTCAGTTTAATTTGCACCTGGCAAATTTGGTGCAGTCCAAAAAAACATCTCACAGGAGACCATCTCTCATTGATAATTAGTTAAAATTTGCACATGTTATGTTTGTAGTTTATTTTCTCCAAACTTCCTGAGAGGCCCGACTGCTTGTTTGTTGTAGTGGGACATGATGGAAATTTATTTTTATTTATTTATTAAATTTATATACCGCCCTATCTCCCTTACGGGACTCAGGGCGGTGAACAGGCGATACTAAAAACCACAATAATAAATAAATAGTTTCTGTTCTAAAATCAAATTAAATAACAGGCCTGTTCTAAAAACACCCCATACAAAACCCCCAGTAAAACCTAATCAAACTACGCCAGGCCGGCCGCACGGAATAGATGGGCCTTCAGGGCTCGGCGAAAAAGGTGCAGGTCCGCAACTGTACGTAGGTCGGGGGGTAGGTCATTCCAGAGGGCAGGAGCTGCCACAGAGAAGGCTCTTCCCCTGGGGGTCGCCAGCCGGCATTGTCTGACCGACGGCACTCTAAGGAGGCCCTCTCTGTGGGAGCGGACTGGTTGAAGGGAGGTGTTTGGTAGGAGGCGGTCTTGCAAATACCTAGGTCCATTGCCATGGAGCGCTTTAAAAGTTGTTACTAACACCTTGAAGCGCACCCGGAAG